AGGTGGTGAGCTCTTGGGGTATCTTATCCTTAATGTTCAGCACAATAACTATTGGTTAAATGAGAGAATATTGAAATGTTTCTTATAACAGCAAAACGAATGGAAAACAGCAAAACAAACTCCTGGCATTTTATTTTCTGGTGTAGAGAGGAATAGAATTCCTTGTTAGGTCAGCTAATCTAATAAGCAGAGAAAAAGAATGTTCTCATGAAATTATGTGTTTACCTTCTGTTTCCATTTGCTGAAATAGAGAATCCATCTAATTGGATTTTCTCCTTGGGGAAATGCAAAGAACGGGTCCGTTGCTGTCACATTTCCAATATGGCCTGCCTCTCATAGTTTTCTCAAGGGATCTTTGACATCCAACCCCTTTTAAATTAGACCTACATCTTAGAAAGCCTTGACTGAGCACCTTCTCAGTTTCATCCATGGCTTCTTGGCACATCATGGTACCCAAAAAGGATAGGAGACATGTGTTATTTGCAATTGGGAGACCACAGACCTAGACAAAAAGAGAATGTGCCTGCAGTGTTCTCCTCACATTCAGTCATTCATTCCTGCATCCATCCATCATCTGTCAAACCATCCATGTATTACTGCACTGAACACTTCTTTACCCAGCGCTGAGCACAGTGTCTGCAGCAGGCACTCAGTAAATCCCTTTGGACCAACTTGTGAAGGTTGCTCCACACAGTGGTGAACAATGTAAGTTCTGAAGCAAAACCAGCAGGTGATGCCATCCACTGTGTGACATTGGGTGGGTCAGTTACCCTCCCTGTATCCTGCTTTCCTTGTTGAAACTGGGTAAGAAGTAGTATCTAACCCACAGCACCAGATACTAGATACTATCAGAATTAAATGAGATATTGGGTTGTCGGAAAAGTCATGACGCATTTTTGGCATGAAAAACATAGAAAAAATACGTCCTGACTTTTCCGACGACCCAATACATATAAAGGGCTTAGCAGGTGCCGGCAGTGGGGCCACGATGATGAACCAAGATCCCTCCTGTGGCTTCTGTTCTTGAGGGGCATATAGACAAATAAGCAAAAAGATGAATAAACAAAATAGGAAATCAAAAGGGTTCCATCATGTGGGGAAGGGTGGTGATGGAAGCTACTTTAGACAAAACAATAGGATACGTCCCCTCTGCAAAGATATTTAAGCTAATACCTGAAGGACGAAAAGGAGCCAGCCCCATAAAAAGCCATGCGGAGAATGTTCCAGGCACAGGGTGTAACAAATGCAAAGGCCCTACGTGGGATAGGGGGTAGAATGTTCTAGAATGAGCCAGAGGCAGTGTTGGCTGGGATAGAGGGAGCTGCAGAGAAAGCAGGCACCATGTGTTGGGAGGATAAGGTCATAAGCAGCCGGGAGACCATGGGGGTGTTGGGATTTCGTTCCAAGTCCAGTGGGAATGCATTCTGGGGTTTCAGAAGGCAGTGGCATGACGCCAAGGTGGGACCTGGACAGCTCCGTCACACCCCTGCGCTCTTCACCGCCTGAGGGAAATGTGAGCTAGACCATCTGGTATGGAAAGGACATTGGAGCAGAGGGTAGTGTGGGTTCTGTCCCCAGTGTGTGAAGCACAGAGCCCTCGCTGTGGAAGCACAAACACACCCGTGGGATTGAGTGCTGCAGAGCCCGTGCGAGCCGGCTGGCTTCCCTCTGTCTCTTATCCCAGTGCCCTGGATGAGCCTGAGGCTTCTCTGAGCTCATAGGGCTGGGGCTGATGCCAAGAGAGCCCGCCCTCACCAAGAGCCCTCCCCCGTCTCCACTGGAGAAGATACGATGCCCGCTCATGGTATTACTGCATCTGAGCTGTATGCCAACTTTTCTTTTCCAGACTCTGAAAAATCTCACCAAGGAGCATGTCCTCGGTGACTTAGCTGTAGGGGGACATGCGCAGGCTGTACTCAGAAGCCCCCGTTGCACTCTCTTTCAATGAAAGGAAACGTACAATAGTACTTAAGGAACTCTAGAACTCAAAGCACGACTGTGAATGTATTTCTATTTAAGTGACCTTGGGATGACAGTGGTAAGCAATAGCTTTTTTCAGGCTGAAATATTCATGGGTCTTTGTATTACTGTACTAAGTCACATTTTAAAACCTTATAATTAATTTTACTGCTGTGGAACCCCCGAAACTCCTCTTGTCCACAAGTTTGCTGACAGTTGTCCACCAAAAGCTCATCTCCAACCCCCAGCTTTCCTGGCGGGTTTTTCATCTTGCACACGTGGAGCAAGTGCCCTCCGAGGACATCCTTCTAAGTAGCTTTCCATTAGAAAGCCTTAACATTATGTCACTTTGTTCTACAAATCCCCACATGTGTTATTCCTCTTAGTGTTAGGTATTCATATGCCCTTGTTCATTCAAAATAAGGATCCAGCATTGTTAAGACCGGAATTACTAAAGCTTAATATGTGGTAAGTAAAATAATAAAAATGTTCATGAATAGTAGATAATATAAGTAATAATAATATAGTTGGAATTATTTTACATTTTTCCTTTTCTCCTCTCTGCGACCTTAAAGCTGACCAAGCCCCCTCCTGCATTAAGACCCCTGAGGCCATTATGGGTCCTGCCTCAAGAGGGCAGTAGCTCCCGGCTCCTTGCTGTCTGTCACCTGTGCTCTGTGCATCCTTCCACCTGCTCCTGGCAGCTTTGTCCCCGTCCCCTCTCTGTCCCCATTTCTCCAGCCTGTCCCTGTAGATGACCCACTTACTCCCCTCAAGTCCTCACCTCTTGACGTCACATCCCATTTTTCTTCTTCCCTTCAGAACCACCCTCTGGAAAGCTTACCTTCCCTGGCCCCTCTCCGCGCTGACCTCTGTGACTGCCCCTGTCAAGGTCCCCAGTCCCACACGTCTTCCTGGAGCCCTTGCCGCGTAGAGGCCGACTGCCACCTCCTTCTCCAGACTGCTGGTCTCGGGTCTCAGTGGCCTCTCCTGCCTCCCCCGCCCAATCTCCCTTCCTCTGCTTCTGACCACCCCAGCAGGGCCGTGGTGTGCTGGCCATGGGGCCCATGGAGAGGGATGCTTAGAACACAGGGACTGGAGACCAAAAGCCACCAGGGGGCTTAACCTTCTCCGCATGGTCTGTGGTCCTGAGCAGAGCGAGAAGCGAGGGGTGCAGGAGAAGCCATATACCTTTGTCAGCGAGTGTGAAGGATGGTCTGGTTTATGTTTTTGGCATATTCTTCTCAAACACTCGCTGAGTAGAACACACCTCGGGCCTGCTGCAAGGGTCTAAGTGATGTAAACCAGGCATATCCTAAATATACCGAAATCCATATAAAACAGGGAAATTACTCAATTCTGGTCTGGGAGAGAGTCTAAAGAAACCTGACGCTAAGGAAAGTATTTCTCATCTGTCACATCTGCAGCCTTCCCACTGCTATTCCTCTCTTTCCATATGTATCAGGATTCTGGTTGCAAAATGCAACTTGAGCCAACTGAAGCAAAAGAGAGGGGTTTGTTGAGGAAGGGGAGAGGCAACGTGGGCCCCCAGGTCACCTGGAAGATCTCCCCTTTCTGTCCTTTGTCACAGCCGAGTGGGGCTGTGTTGTCCCTGGGCAGCGTCCCCCTGAAGCAAGGACCAGGCTGAAAGAAGCCCTGTGAGGAAACATTTCTTTTCCAGAAGCTCCGCTCAAAGCATGTTGGAGGGCAGGTTTGTGATGGCTTAGCTAGGGGTCCCATGTTCACCTCTGGACTGGGAGTGGAGTGACCCCAACAGAACCAAACAGTATGAAGCATATTCTGTGAAGACAGGGGCGGGCGGGCAGCACCATCACTATGCTGTGAGTCCAGGATTTAAGACAGCTCTTGACTCCTTACTGCCCAGATGCTTATAAGCCAGGCTCCGTGTAGGGGCCTTCCTGTCTCCCACTAACCTGGCTTGTCAGATTCCAGACTCACAGATGTCCTGGTCTTGCCATCCCCTGCCTGGAATTCCCTTCCCCTCCCATCCCTCCTTTGCCTGGCAGACTCCTACTCCATCTGCTAGCTCCCTCTGTAAAACCTTCCCCTTGCACTGCAGTCCACCTACTGTGCGTCCATCCACCAAGTAAGACTCTGTTCCTACCACTGGGTTATCTTTCCTCTGTCACCCCACCAGGCTGCAGTGTCCTCATTTATCTTTGTATCCTAGCAGCCAATACAGCTCCTAGCACATAGTAGGAGCACAGGAAATACTCATGATCATGTTGAAAGGGTTGAAACGCTGCATATGACAGAAGAAATTGCAGAACAGTTTAAAACCTAAATAAACCCTGCTTTGCTATCATCAATTGAGGTGTAGTAAATTGCATATAATTTTAGGTAGGATACATAGGGTTTTTCTCCTCTTTTAATTCATCTTAGAAATTCAATATTTCAGTGTGTCCAAAATCACTTTTCTTCACCTCCTACAGCACTGCTTTTAATATTTCAGTGTTCTAAACTCTTCTTTGACATTTTAATATTGACGGCTGTTTCTTTCACTCACTAGAGAATCAACAGGGGCCATATTGTGGCTCCAAATTATTTCCCAACAGATGACTTAGCCATTGATTCTAGACAGCGGGGCCCTATGACTCCCAGGCACGTGATGCTCCCCACTCAGAAATCTGCACGTACCTTTCAAAGAAGAGCATGCGTGCATGCATGCGTGTGCCTGTGCGTGCATGCCTCCATGCGTGCATGTTCCAGTGTGCCCGTGCCAGTGCGTGCACTCGCCTGTGTGTGTATTGGAGGAGTGCAGTGGGAAGGTGGTAGGGAGGGCTCCACCTGTCCTGTGGGGTTGCTCAAAGCGCACACCTCTGACTTTCACCTGCCTGCACCTCCTCCTGACTCTCCTGGGATGACCCGCACAGGTGGAAGGTCCTTTGGGAGCCGCAGTAAATTGGGTCATTTGTAAAATAAAAGGTGGTTCAGACCCTGGCTGTCAGGCAGCCTAGGTATTCACAAGTGACATAGCAATGCAATTCTACACTCAGCTTTTTATGTTTTTCCCCCCACAGAGGTCTCATTGCTAGCGGTTTCACAGAAACCCATTATCTGCAGGATGGCACTGATGTGTCCCTCACTCGAAATCACACGGTAAGTCCTGCGTGTGTGGCCCACCCTGATGCTGTGCTATCACATCTGTGCTTCAACCCTGTAGCTGTTTAAACCTAAGCAAACTCACATGCCCACGTCATTCACTCAGGTCCCAGGAAGACCTTGCATGGCACTTAGTGCCTAGGCCTTCCGTTGTTACTCCAGAAAAACTTGGCCTTGGCTAGATGTGTGCTGGGACAGTCCTTGGAGATACGGCTTTACTGCAGATTGACCTTGAAACCACCTTCCAAGGACTGTGGGATGCTCAGCTGGGCAAATCCTTCCTAGAAACCCTAGCCAAAGTTAGAGACGGCTCGGGACGCAGTCCCCCTGGGCTGAACTTGGCTGCCTTAAACGTGGCAATATCTTAAAGAAGTCAAAGGAAAACTGACTCTGCTTAACCTATTACAAACATACCCACCAGGTGGATGTGCTTCTATATCATGGTTGTTACTTATTATGACATTTGAAGTTTCATGCGAGACTTGGACATGATGCTAATTTTATTTGTTGCTTTTTCAGAAATGCTTAGTGTGTACTGTGCCCCACATATGAATGTGGGGATTCAAGGGGAATCACTGCCTTATGATGACTTAAAAGGTGACTTGTTTTAAGGAACCCTGGGTCTTTGTTTTTAAAAGAATAAGCTCAGAGGGAGCCTTTATGTTTACAGTGTTGTCAAGTAGCTGTTATTGTCTGCAGTGATCCCACCTTCTCTGCATTATGTCAGCTCATGTTTCTTTACCACGTGTTTGGCACGTGGCACTGACATTTACCTTCCGACTTCCAGCAATTTGGTGGAATGAGCAAATGCAGCTTTTCAGCCTGAAAGAGAGCAATAGAAATCCTGAATCAAACAGAAGCATTTAAGAATTGTTGTTAATACCTGGTCAAGCTTGAAAGAGAGTTAGAGAAATCCTCAGGAGGCAGAAACAAAGAGGGGACGTAAGACCAGAGCAATAGGTTGGTGAGTTGGGGTCATTGGACCCCAAAGGGCTTTCCAGGGCCCCGAGAGAGGATCCGGTGCTTGGGGTTTGGGACAAGAGAAGTGGATGTCTCTGACTGAGAAGCCCACAGAAGGCAGGCCCCAGAGACCTGCTTCCTGTGTGAAAAGGGGACAAGAAAAACTCTTGTCTCAAGAAGGGGCAGCCTTAAGGATTGTCTCCAGGTGTCCTGTACTGATGAAAGATTTCCTACCAAATTGAGAAATCGAAACCCTAGCTAGCTTCACAAGTGTGTGTTTGGAATAGAATGGGCTGGCGTCCAGATTCCCAATACCTGTGTAGGAATAGAATTGCAGTCAATATATGAACCTCACACCTAGGCCCAGACCAGCAACCCTGGGTCCCATGGGTCCAAACTAAAGCCAGCCCAAAACCCTTACATAGGGATGTTTCTACAGCCCAGGTTATATAAGATGCCTGTGCAAAGAAACAAGAGAGAGAGAGAGAGAGAGAGAGAGAGAGAGAGAGAGAGAGAGAGAGAGAGAGAGAGAGA